CCATCATTGTACTCATAAGCCAATGCCTTTCACAAAGAATTTGAATTCTAGGGAGATTTTGAGCACAAAGCTGCAATGTCTTTGAGAACTTGATTTATGATGCAAGATGAACTGCTGTTAACTCTGGGGTCATTCACCCAGTGGGGATGAGAAGGGCAGCCCCATTAATCAAAAGGTAGCAGGAGACCCCTCCAGGTGAGCCAAATGCACAAAGGGAGGAAGTGAGTCCAGGTGGAAAAAGAGACCCCTCCCCTCATCGCTGGTATGGTCGGGAGACAGCTCTGCTTCAGGGAAGCTCGGAGGGATGGTCTAATGCACATTCTCGCAAAGAATCAGAGAGGCTGCAGCTTGTCTGAGAAGAATTTACATCCTGGCTCCAATACTCATGAGCTGTATGGCATTAAGCAAGCTATCTAAATCTGAACCTTGGGCCCTTCCAAGATGGCGATAATAGTACCTGCCTCAGAGGGTTGTTAGGAAAATAAGCAAGCATTTACTGAGTACCTAATACACGCCAGACTTGGCATGAGGTACTGGGGAGACGGTGGTAGAAGAGCTGACCGTTCCATGAAAGCACTTCTATAGTGCACTAGGCACAGACACTGCCTATCGTTTGTAGCTACTCAACAAATGTTACTTCCCTTCTCCTTATAATCTGTACCATTGGGCACCTACTGTGTGTGAGCTATTGTGTAGGCCCTTGGACCTGGCATCAAGTAGCAATTTGTAGCTTCACAACTGGTTTCACACATGAGAACAAATGTCAGCAGTTTTTGCACTTGCTCATGGAGAGACAGCAGGAGGGGTTTCGAGCTCACAAATCCCTTCAGTTGTAGCAGCCCTCCTTTAATTGATGTTATATCCTCGACTTCTTAGAAAGATCCAACCTATTTATTGATGGACATTGATACACCTGACACTGCTCTAGGTGCTTAAGAAAAAACTCAATGAATAAATCAAAGATGCCTGCCCTGCAGAGCTTATATGGTAGCAGAAAAGACACAGAAGGAAGGGTAAGCATTGTGAGCTGTTGATTATTTATTACCTTGTATAGAGATAAGTGCTTTGGGAAAATATAAGTAGAGCAGGATGGGGGTAAGCAGAGCAGGCTGCAATTTTAATTAAGTGGGGTAAGTCTCACAGAGAAGGTGATATTTCAGCAAAAACTTAAATGTGAGGGAGTTACCCACTATGTGAAGAAAGGAGCGGAGGGAGTCAGCTATGGTACTTTGGGGAAAAGGTTTCCAGCAAAGGGTTCAGAAGTGCAAAGGCCCTAAGGTGAAAGCATACCTGTGACAGGGGTCAGCTAGGAGACAGTGTGGCTGCAACAGGTGAGCAAGTGAGGAGCAGTGAGTGGCTGGGAAGCAGGTGCTGCTGGAACTGAGGGTGGGGGGATAGAGGGAGCTTTCTAGGCTTATGGAAGGGCTTTGCTTTCAGTCTGAGTGCA